AAAACTACAGACTAATTCACCGTGCGCCTGCTCGGGGCCCTGCGGCGGCGCCAACATAAAAACGGTAAACGGTCACGAATCCCCACTAGCATTTTTTTTTTCGACCTCGTATCTTAAAGTTTTACAGGGTGGACCCCCCGATCGGCTGGCTGGCAAAAGACGTTTCCTGGCAAAGCGGGCCCCAGCGGGGAATCCTGGGCGGGCCCGACCAGGCGCACGGTGAATTGGCAGCCGCCCAGGCCCAGGGGACCCCCAGACCAGGCGCACGGTGAATTGGCCACCGCCCAAGGCCCCAGGGCGCTCCTGGACGCCCCAAGGACGTCTCCTGGCGATTCGGGCGCCCCAAGGGTCCTCCAGACCAGGCGCGCGGTGAATTAGCCACCGCCCGGGGGGTCCGACCAGGCGCACGGTGAATTTGCCACCGCCCAAGGCCCCAGGGCGCTCCTGGGCGCCCCGGGAACGTCCCTCGCGATTCGGGCGCGCCAGGGGGCCCCCAGACCAGGCGCACGGTGAATTAGCCACCGCCCGGGGGGTCCGACCAGGCGCACGGTGAATTTGCCACCGCCCAAGGCCCCAGGGCGCTCCTGGGCGCCCCGGGGACGTCCCTCGCGATTCGGGCGCGCCAGGGGGGGCCCAGACCAGGCGCCAGGGCGCTCCTGGGCGCCCCGGGGACGTCCCTCGCGACTCGGGCGAGCCAGGGGCCCCCCAGACCAGGCGCATGGTGAATTAGCCACCGCCCGGGGGGTCCGACCAGGCGCACGGTGAATTTGCCACCGCCCAAGGCCCCAGGGCGCTCCTGGGCGCCCCGGGGACGTCCCTCGCGGCTCGGGCGCGCCAGGGGGCCCCCAGACCAGGCGCCAGGGCGCTCCTGGGCGCTCCGGGAACGTCCCTCGCGACTCGGGCGCGCCAGGGGGCCCCCAGACCAGGCGCACGGTGAATTAGCCACCGCCCGGGGGGTCCGACCAGGCGCACGGTGAATTTGCCACCGCCCAAGGCCCCAGGGCGCTCCTGGGCGCCCCGGGGACGTCCCTCGCGATTCGGGCGCGCGAGGGGTGCCCCAGACCAGGCGCACGGTGAATTGGCCACCCAGGAGCCCCCCGGGAACTCCCGGGCTCACCCAGGGCGCAGCGCTGGGCAGCGCTTGGGAGCGCCTGCGAGCGCTTGGGAGCGCCTGGGAGCGCCTGCGAAAGCTTGGGAGCCCCCCAGGAGCCCACCAGGAGCCCCCCACGGCCCCCCCAGGGCGCGCGCCATGGTGAATTAGCTCCCGCCCGAGGCCCTCCAGGAGCCCTCCCAGGAACCCGCCAGGAGCGCCCTGGGAGCTCCCCACGAGCCCCCCAGGAGCCCCCTAGGAGCCCCCCAAGAGCACCCCCAGACCAGCGTCACGGTGAATTGGGCACCGCCCAGGAACCTCTTTAGGGACCCGCTAGGAGCGCCCCAGGAGCCCCACAGGAGCCCCCCAGGAGTTCCCTAGGAGCCCCCCAGGAGCCCCCCCAGACCAGCGTCACGGTGAATTGTGCACCGCCTAGGAACCTCTTTAGGGACCCGCTAGGAGCGCCCCAGGAGCCCACCAGGAGCCCCCCAGGAGTCTAGGAGCTCGCCAGGAGCCCCCCCAGACCAGCGTCACGGTGAATTAGGCACCGCTCAGGAACCCCCTCAGGAACCCGCCAGGAGCGCCCTGGGAGCTCCCCAGGAGCCCACCAGGAGCCACCTAGGAACCCTCCCCAGGGCCCTCCCAGGGCCCTCCCAGGGCCCTCTCAGGGCACCCCAGGCGCACATCACGGTGAATTGGCAGCCGCCCAGAGCACAGGGCGCACTTGAACCCTCTCCAGGGCCCTCCCAGAGCCCTCCCAGGGCCCTCCCAAGGCACCCCAGGCGCACATCACGGTGAATTGGCAGCCGCCCAGGGCCCAGGGCGCACCTGAACCCTCCCAGGGCCCTCCCAGGGCCCTCCCAGGGCACCCCAGGCGCACATCACGGTGAATTGGCAGCCGTCCAGGGCCCAGGCAGGGCGCACGTGAACCTTCCCCAGGGCCCTCCCAAGGCCCTCCCAGGGCCCACCCCGCGCTCCCCAGGGCTCTTCCAAGGCCTTCCAAAGCATTTCTTCATTGTGAATCAGCTGCCGCCCAGTGCCCAGAACGCTTCTGGGCGCGCCAGCTGGATTTCGTAGTTCCAGAGGGGCGGTATCGGCGGAACGAGCGAAGCGAGCGGAGCCGGCGCCACAAGCGCACAATCAAACGCCCGCGCGGCGTTTCACCCCAAACCCTTTCCCCCGACGTAAAGCGTCAACCCTAAACCCAGGATTGCGCATATCTTAAAACTCAAGAGGGTATCTGTGTACGTGCGATACACAAAGCACCATTTGGTGTACATATGAGAAAGATCGCCAAACCGATTGGAATCGTGGAGCCCTAAGAGAAAGAAAACCTCGATTACCGAATGAACCCTAAACCCTAATAGAGAAAGCCGTGGGTGGTTCGCCGCCCTAACGGGCGCGGGGTGGGAATGTGAAAAGGGGAGCTGGCCCCATAGCCGAAACATGATTCCGCTCAACATGATGTCACCACAACACGACTACCCCACCCCCACTCCATTTTATGGGTGGGGGTGGTCTTACACGATTGATGATCAGCAAGCGCTGACAGAGGACACCCTAAACCCTAAACCCTAAACCCTGAACCCTACCCTAAACCCTAAACCCTAAACCCTAAACCCTAAACCCTAAACCCTAAACCCTAAACCCTAAACCCTAAACCCTAAACCCTAAACCCTAAACCCTAAACCCTAAACCCTAAACCCTAAAGCCCTAAACCCTAACCCTAACCCTAAACCCTAAACCTCGCTCGCCTCGCACCGGACCCCTGCGGAAAGGGGGGGAGGGGGGGGGGGGGGGGTTCCGACCCCCCCCCCCCCCCTTCAAGGGGGGGGGGGGAGGGGTTCCGACCCCCCCCCCCCTTTCAAAGGGGGGGGGGGGAGGGGTTCGAACCCCCCCCCCCCCTTAAAGGGGGGAGGGGGGGGGGGGTTCTCGGACCCCCCCCCCCCCCCTGAAGGGGGGGAGGGGGGGGGGGGGGGGGGGGGGTTCCCTGGAGCACACCCCCCCTTTTGTGTCTTCAAGGTGATCCACTGGCGCTCTTTCGTGGTTTTCTCCTCCGTACCTGTCGGCGCTGTCTGCGCCGTGCACCACGCCGAGCAGAAAGTCCAGTGTATCTGGGATACTGAATTGCAGTATCTTGTGCGATCTGAAATCCAGGTGAGGCAACTTTTCGTCCTCAAAAGGGCCCGCCAGGGTTACGCTCACGATGCTTCCTCACAGTACTCCTGTTGAGGACAGCCAGCCACGGCAACCTTTTCATTCGCAAGCGCGCCCGTCTGGATCACATTCGGGCCATTTTCATCACAGCGCACTGAGAGCAGCAGCAAACCGAGCAGACCTTTCATTTGGAAGCGCGACCCGTTGGAGTCCCGTGTCCAAGGCAGGCCAGAGCCACAACTGGGGGAGCCGTGGTGCTTAGCCCCCTGGGGGACGCATCGATTTCGACACCCCTCTCGAGAGATCGTCGATGCGATGGGTTCCAGTTAACGGGCGGAGAACGGTATAAAATAAACTGTTTCGCTGTCAGGGGCGCCTGTCCCAGGGCGGCTGGAAAGGTATACCCTTACGGTGGCACCGTAGGGGTATAAACTTTCCAGCCGCCCAGGGACAGGCGCCCCCGACAGCGAAACAATTTATTTTATACCGTTCTTCGCCCGTTAACCCAGGGGGGGGGGGTAAGGGCCACGGCTCTCCCAGTGATGGCTGGTCGGCAGGGCGCGGCAGCGTGATCGGCTCGCCCGGCCCCGCCCCGCCCGCGGACGACGTGCGCTGTCCACTGCGGTGCGTTTCCCTGTGTGTTGTTGTTGTTGTTTGTTGTGTTGTTGTTGTTGTTGTTGTTGTTGCCGCTGCTGTTGTTGTTGTTGTTGTTGTTGTTGTTGTTGTTGTCGTCGTTGTTGTTGTTGTTGTTGTTGTTGTTGTTGTTGTTGGTGTTGTTGTTGTTGTTGTTGTTGTTGTTGGTGTTGTTGTTGTTGTTGTTGTTGTTGTTGTTGCTGTTTGTTTGTTTGTTTGTTTGTTTGTTTGTTTGTTTGTTTGTTTGTTTGTTTGTTTTGTTATAGTTTGTGTGTGTTGTTTGTGTGTTTTTTTTGTGCGTTGTGTGTTTCTGTGTTTTTGTTTGTTTGTTTGTTTGCGTTTGTTTGTTCTGTCCGTCGTCACACTGCTTGTCGGTGTCTTTGCTGAGGTGCTGAATTGGGTTCGCGCGCGACGCTGCGGTCGGGCGCCCGTCCGCGGAGTTGCGGCTCGCGCGCGGCACCGCGCTCGGCCGCCCGGCCGTGGAACCCGTCGAGCGAATCGGTTGGGCTCGTGCGCGGCGCGGTGGTCGGGCGCCCGCTCGCGAAGCTGCGGCTCGCGCGCGGCGCCGTGCCCGCCCGCCCGTCTGCGGAACCCCTTGCGCGACGCGCGTGTTTTCTCACGCGCCGCTGCCTCGTTCATGGACTGGCGCAGTGGGGGGAGAGCCGCCAGAGAAAAACAAACAAATGCATAAGGGGAAGTGAGGGGTGCGACAACGATTTAAATAGCTCGGAACAAGACGAGCGGCCCGCCTTGGGGCGAGGGCGCTATCATGAACGACGGGGGCACGGCGCCGACCTGAACAAATTGACGCCAAGGCTGCAGCGGGAGCATCATTCTCAAACGCCGAAAACAGGTGGACTACAACGACAAATCGGGAAAACGCAATTGTCGAAACCCCGCCTGTAAAGGCAGTGCGCAGAGGGATGGAGATTTTCCAGACGAGGTCCGGGGAGAGAGGAGAGTGTTACGGGTAATATGCGAATGCGGAGGGAAGGCGTCGAATCGGCGGAACGTCTCCAGGACCCTTTTTTCTCCAAGGCCCTCTTGTTTCCTCGTGCCGAGATCTGGCGCCCTTGGGCCGTCCCCCCCGCGGGCCGCGCTGGGGGGGGGGGCTCGAGAGATGCTCGTGCGGCGGGCGCCTCCTCTCTGGGCTGACTGCAGGCGCCGGCGGGGGGGGGCCTCCAGGCCTCCCGGATGTCGGAGGTCCAGAGGCTGGCACCCACACCAGTATCGGCTCTTGCCTCCACCAAAGGAACATGTGACCCTGCTCTGGGCCATGGCGTTGACATTCGGGCTTCTTGGGTGGCCGAGAAATCTCCAGCCGCACCAGAATCCCGGATCATCTTGTCCTGGTGGATGCGAACCTTTGCGTTGGTGTTCGTGCCAATCTCCAGGCCGCCAGACATGGGGTCGGAGAACCGCGCCGCATCACCGGTTCATCGGCGATACGGCTCGATGTGGAGGCCACGCTTCTCCACACCGACGGCGCAGGCGCATCGCCGATTCATTGGCGATACGGCGCGGTCTTCCGACCCCATTTCTCCGGCCCCCAATGGGAGGCCTTCAGGGGGGAGTCAAGGTGGGAAGCGGCTCGCGGTGGGTCGAGGGGAGGCTTCGGAGAGGAGCCCGAGAAGGCAGCAAGACCAGGAGGCTCGTCGCGCTACATCGAGCCAGCTTGTGGGGGCACTCGAACATATGCGATTGGACATTGCTCAGTCAGGCGTGCAGAATCATAGTGATGCGACGCCGTGATACGGCGAGCATTTTGGCAGTTTTGCTCAACGTTCAGACAAGTCCACCAGGCAGGTCGAATCGGCAGCAGGCAAGCACGGGAATACGGTTGTATTTTATGTTGCATACGGTGATGAGCATTTCGCACAGGTTCGTGTCAGCAGCAGATGTGCACGTGCCTCCCAGTCCCAAGATGTTTTCCCCCGTGCAGTTAGTTGGCTTGTGACGATGCCTCTGCAACAGGAGTTTTCTTATGAACATTTTTCCTTCTCTTCGTCCCCGTCTCTTCCTCCTCCTTCTCCTTCTCCTTCTCCTCCTCCTCCTCCTCGTCACCACCACCACCATCCTTCCGCGTCCTCTTCCTGCCCCATCTTCATTTCCTCCGCCTACTAGAGTTCCTCCTTCCTCCTTTTGCCCTGCGCTTCCTCATGGAACTCCTCCTCCCGGGGATTTGTCTTGGCGCCATGCTTTGAGGGCTCGGAGGAGGACGAGGTGCCCATCCTCATCGTGCGTGCTTCTTCTGCGGGTTGACGGTATGGCCCGGGGAAGCCAAGCAGGCCCAAAATCATCGATCGTCGGGGAAGCCAAGCAGGTCCAAACTCATCGATCGTCGAGGGTCGAGGCCTCCGCAGGCAAAGCATCAGAGGAGGAAAGGGTACCTACCCATACCACTACCCTTCCCCCATTTTCCCTTTCGGGGCATCCTGGGAGGCCATCGTCGCCACGGATGCATTCGCCTCGCAACTTTGGTCAAAACGCACCCCGCGAAAGGTCTGGGGTAGAGAGTAGAGGTATCGATCAGTTGTTGTATCCCAAGGGCGGGCGACGACGAACACCGCCCCGAAAAGGAGGGCGGCCTTCTCAGAAGCCTCAGGAGGCCGCTTGCCTTTGAGAAGCTTCATCAGCCTTCTCCGATGCCGCAGAGGGTTCATCGGAAGGTCGAAGGGCCTCTGAGAAGCCCCGCCATTTCTAAGTATTGCAGGTTCGTATCGTGTCGACCGGCGGCGACCCCGCCGCCAGCGTTCAACGTTGAACGCCAATCGGTCGGTGTTGAACGATCTGACGTTTCGGAGGCGGCCGACGTTTCGGAGGCGGCCGATCATTCAAAGTTGAACGATCCCACCAGCGTCAGAAACCAGCGCCGAAGTCGGCACGACACGAACTTGCCGTGGGCCTGCCCGTTCTCACTTCCCCCCTCGGCGCACTGCCAAGATGATCCAGAACCCAGACGTCATGATTTCTTCATGACGTGCACAGGAGGTCTGGACCCCTTCCTGGGAAAAGCGCCTTTGGGGTCGCATGTAGGGTCCGCCCCAGGTTCCGAACCCGGGGGGGAAGGGGAGGGGAAATGTCTCCACCCTGGGTTTACACCCGGGGAGGGGGGGGGACGACGACGGCGTCGTCGTCTGGCGTCGGCGTCGGCGTCGTGCTCGACATCGTTGCCGGCGTCGGCGTCGTCGTCGTCGTCGTTGGCGGCGACGTCGGCCTCGGCGTCATCGGTCTCGGCGTCGGCGCCAGCGTCGGCGTCGTTGTCAGTGTCGGCGTCGGCGCCGGACGTCGTCGCCATCGTCGGCATAGGCATCGGCGTCGTGCTCGGCCTCGTCGTCGTCGTTGTCGGCGTCGTGCTCGGCGTCGTGCTCGGCGTGGTCGGCGTCGGCGTGGTCGGCGTTGGCGTCGTCGACGTCGTGCTCGGCGTCGTGCTCGGCGTCGCGCTCGTCGTCGTCGCCGGCGTCTGCGTCATGCTCGGCGTCGTGCTCGGCGTCATAGTCAGCGTCGGCGTCGTAGTCTTCGTCGGCGGTGTCGGCGTCGTCGTCGGCGTCAGCGTCGGCGCTGTGCTCGGTGTCGTGCTCGCCGACGTCCTCTTCTTCGGCGTAGGCGTCGGCGCCAGCGTCGGCGTCGTTGTCGGCGTCGTCGGCGTCGTGCTCGGCGTCGTGCTCGGCGTCGTGCTCGGCGTCGTCGTCGGCGGCGTCGGCGTCAGCGTCGGCGTCGTGCTCGTCGTCGTTATTGGCGTCGGCGTCGTAGTCGTCGTCGGCTGCGTCGTCGTCGATCTCGGCGTCGGCGCCAGCGTCGGCGTCGGCGTCGGCGTCGGCGCTGGCGCCCGGCGTCGTCGCCATCGTCGGCATCGGCGTCGGCGTCGTGCTCGGCCTTGTCGTCGTCGTTGTTGGCGTCGTGCTCGGCGTCGTGCTCGTCGTCGTCGTCGTCGTCGTCGTCGTCGTCGTCGCCGCCAGCGTCAACGTCGGCGTCGTGCTCGGCGTCGGTGTCAGCGTCGGCGTTGTAGTCGTCGGCGGCGTCGGCGTTGGCGTCGTCATCGTCGTCGTTGTCGTCGTCGACGTCGGCGTCGGCGCTGCGCTTGGCGTCGTGCTCGCCGACGTCCTCTTCGTCGGCGCAGTCGTCCCTGCTAGTGTCGGCGTCGTGCTCGTCGTCGTCGACGGCGTCGGCGTCGCGCTCGTCGTCGTAGTCGGCGTCGGCGGCGTCGGCGTCGGCGGCGACCTCGTCGTCGTTGTCCACATTGGTGTCGGCGCCGTGCTCGGCATTCTGCTTGGCGTCGTGCTCTTTGTCGGCGTCGGCGTTGGCGTCGTTGTCACCGTCGGCGTCGTCGGCGTCGTGCTTGGCGTCGTGCTCGGCGTCGGCGTCGTTGTTGGCGTCGTTGTCGGCGTCGGCATTGTTGTCGGCGTCATGCTCGGCGTCCTGCGCGGCGTCGTCGGCGTCGGCGTTGTGCTCGTCGTCGGCGTCGTTGATGGCGTCGGCGTCGTCGGCGTTCCCGTCGTCGTCGTCGGCGTCGGCGTGGGCATTGGCGTCGGCGTCGGCATCGTCGTCGTCGTCGTGTGCGAGTCCTTGCCGTCGTCGTCGTCGTCGTCGTCGTCGTCGTCGTCGTTGTCTTCGCTGTCGGCGCCGCCGATGTCGTGTTGTCGTCGTCGTCGGCGTCGGCGTCGTCGTCCTCGCTTTTGTCGTCTTTCCCTCCCCCCCTTGGAGTCGAGGAGGTGGGCCCCCCCCCGGTTCGAACCCCCAGGGGGGGTTGGGAATTCCCCCCCCCCGGGTTTCGAGGGGAGTTGGAGATTTTGTTCCAAGCAGGCGCCCGCGAAACGCGCTTTCTCCTTCGTGGGGGCTGGATTTTCCTCCTGAGTCATTTCTGTTACAGTCCCAAGGTCCAGTAAGGGCTCCCAGAGGTTGAAGACTGCCGAAAAACCCTGTGTCGTGATTTTGTTCACGACGCGAATGGACCTTGGGAGGAGGAGGAGGAGGAGGAGGAGGACGACGACGACGAGGCGGCGCGGAGCGGTCCTTACTCGGGGTGACGATAAAGATCATACCGTGTGGGGGCTGGGTGGCCTGGCCTCGCCCCCCACATGTTGGTGTTCGCACGCGTACTCTGGCGATGGCAGCGCACCCCCGCCCAGACGTGCCCCACCCCACTCGGGCGGTACCGTTACCCGTTGGCCCAACCCCGCCCCCACATCTCCCCGAAATGATTAAAGATTTTTCTCCCATCCACGACATCGACGACGACGACCACGACGACGACGACGTCGACAACGACAACCGCTGCCCCCGAAAGAGCAGGGCGCTGGTTCCCGAGCTGCCGCCCGCGGGCGCCGCCAGAGGCGCTGGCGCCCGCCTGTGGGGCATTGGGCGCCGGCCTGCCAGGCAGGGCGCGCGCAGCGCGAGGAGGAGGAGGATGACACGATGGTGGTGGCGATGGTGGTGATGATGGTGGTTATTATTGTGTTGATGGTGATGGTGATGGTGATGGTGATGGTGATGGTGATGGTGATGGTGATGGTGGTGTTGGAAATGATGATGATGCCGACGACGATGATGAGGATGGTGGTGATGATGATGGTGATGATGGTAATGGTGATGGTGATGGTGGGGGTGATGGTGATGGCGATGATGACGAAAAGGTGGATGACGACCAGGATGATGATGCCGACGCTTCTGATGATGATGGTGATGGTGTTGATGATGTTGGTGGTGATGGTGATGGTGATGGTGATGGTAATGGTGGTGGTGATGGTGATGGTGATGGTGGTGATGAGAGGATGAGATGGTGATGATGCTGCTGATGATGCTGATGAAGAGGATGATGGTGATGATGATGATGAGGATGAGGATGAGGATGAGGATGAGGATGAGGATGAGGATGATGATGATGATGATGATGATGATGATGATGATGATGATGATGATGATGATGAACAGGACGGGGAAGAGAACGTGGAGGACATGGGGAGGAGGTGCGGGAAGAGGAGGACGAGGAGGGCCTGAAGGGAGGGAGAATGCGTAAGATGACCATGATGAGGAGGAGACGCAGGCGCAGAAGGAGGAGCAGGAGGAGGAAGACGAGGACCAGTGTAAACCCAAGAGTCCTCGACGATGTTGTAATCAATCCTCCAAGTTCCCTCTTCACAAGTCCCTACAAGAATTTGTTTTCACTACTGGAAGTGTTCCGTTGGAAGACAACGGCTTGAAAACATTGAACCGTGCCAAGACACCATTCTTGGGACTTCAACGCCGCGAATCAGAATTACGCGCCCTGACGATCCTGAGCTGCGTTAGAGCACCATCCCTGGGACTTCAACACAAGAACCAACGTGACTGAGGTACCCTGACAGCCCTACCTCGTGCCGGCAAAGAATCTCCAGGCCGTCTGTCGTAACAGTCATAGAAACTGCTGTAACCTCTTAAGACGAGTGCGCGCGACGCTAAGGCGATGACCACAATTAGAGAACCTTCCCTCCTCCATCCGTGAAAACTCCAGCAAACTTTTAAACGAGTGCGCGCGTGCGCTAAGGCGAGAGCCACACTTCGAAACCTCCTGCCCCCCATCCGTGAAGCTCTTTATTCAATTGTGTAATACTCGGTAGTCGAAGGCCAGACTGTCAGATTGGATTGGGCCCCCAGGGCCAATCTGGCCCGGCCAAACTGGATGATTTGGGTTATTCCGCCAGACTGGATTCGCGTTGGCTCCCTCGCCAGATTGCCCCCGTTTGCCAGATTGGGCCTGCCAGATTGGCGCCAGATCGGCTTCGACTACCCAGTAATACGAGTGTGCGCGGCGCGGATGCGAGAGCCACGTTCTGACCACGGCCCGTCTTCCTCCGTACAGACTCTTTGCGAACGTCTATAAGACGAGTGTGCGCGGCGCCGGAGCGAAAGCTGACCACCTGTTTTGAAAACCGCCCGCCCACAGTCTGCGAAGGATCGGGAGGCAGAGGTGGAGGAGGAGGAGGAGGAGGAGGAGGAAGAGGTGGAGGAGGAGGAAGAGGAGGAGGAGGAGGAGGAGGAGGAGGAGGAGGAGGAACCTCTTCGTCTCCGACCCGCAACCGGGCGGCGTGGGGCTCGGCGCCAGAGGTCCTTCCCCGGGAAGGCGCCTCCGGCGCCGCCCGCGGAGGGCGCTTTCTCGTGCGCCCGGGCGGGAGGAGGCGCCGCTCCTCCCCCACAAACTTCGGGGGCGGAAAGGAGGGGGGTGATGACTGGGGGGGAGTGGATATCATGGCGGGGGACATGATATCCGTAAGGGCTTCGCCCCCTGCCGCCGGCCCCCTCTCTCGGAGAATGGGCCATGGAAAAGCTAAGTCATGAGGCTTTGGCGCTGTCGTGCAGCAGTATCGGAACTTCATGCGAGGCCGATTCGCAATCGGCAAAACCAACTGATCACAAGAGGGGTTACCACACAGGGCGATGGGTAAGACGTGTATGGTTTACGAGCTTGGTTACCACACCTTGGGATTAAAGGGCCGAGAGAGTACTCGCAGTTTGGGTTACCACGCCTTGCGATGGATGTGCGTGAGGGGTGGCACCGAATTTCAGAAATGTGGCAAATCCCCTGTGTTTTTGGAC